TATTGCAAAAATACGCGAAACTTGTTTTGCAAAAGCATTCTAACTATCTTAGGGATTGGACTATCGAAGAAAAGGAAAAAACGAAGAAAAACTTCATATATTTCAACTGGAAAGCTCTACTAGAATATCCACTATGTAAACGTATACATAACAAGGATCAGAGGTAGTTCGGCCGTGTATGCGTTAGCAGTGGGAGGTTCATCGTAAAATGCTTTTGGCAGAATAGTGATGAAACAGGGGATGTTTTTGAATGTGACTCATCTATTGCGGAAAAAATTCAGCAAAAAAATAAAAATATATCTTTGGAGCACCTGTCTAGCATTCGCAAGATAAAAGGCCCAGGTTTTCCTAAAGCCTTCATAAAATTCCTATCTTGGGTCCAGTATAATGATCCCCTTACAGCAATAGAAACATATAAGGAGAGATATGTAAGACCATTACCCAAGGCGATATCTATGTAGGATCACCTTGGGAAACAGGAAAAACATATGTTCTAGAGCATTTTACTATATCTGATAATGTGAATTTACTAGTATTATCCACGCGCCACTCTTACTCGAATGCTGTTACTACAAGACTCAATCTCAAATCATATTGTGATATTGATGGTAATATAAATCTACCTGATCACAAGAGGGTAGTTTGCCAGATAGAAAGCTTACATCGGATTACTAATAATTGTAAATGCAGTAAAAAATGTAAATGTCCTCCAATCCAATATGATTTATGGCTTGATGAAATAGTATCTATAATTGCTCAAGCACAAAGTCGTCTGGCGGGTCAATCGATAGAAAAGTTATATAAATTAATCCAAGAGGCAAGGCGTATTATTGTTATGGATAATGACCTAACTGATCTAAATATCGAATGGATTAAAGCCCTTCGAAAGGATAAACCATTCTCTATTATCCACAATACTTATCAACCACAGAAAGGCAAGTTGTTCCGCTTAGCTCCTAATAAAGAAACAGTATTAGCTGAACTTTGGGACTGGGCTAAGAAAGTGTCTTTACTACATTTTGAGTCTTGAAAAAGTGCTTCACTTATTTGCCATCTCAAAAAAGATGTACAAGGGATTGTTCATGCTCTTAAGACCGATTTTCCTGAACTACGAATCAAGAAATATCATGGTAAATCAGATCCTGAGGAAAAGGCTCGCGATTTTAGCAATGTAGAAGAATCATGGAAAGACTTAGACCTAATTGCCTACACTAGCACTCTAAAAATAGGAGTATCATGTACTAATCCTAAGTTTGAGCGAGCATTCTGTCTTTTTAATAACTTCATAGAAACAAATGCTGGAACGAATCAGATGTTATTCCGCATGCGGTGTATCAAAGACTATATATGTCATATCGAACAAAGATCATCTAACGTCCCCATTACAGAAAAGGGGTTATTTCAGTGGTTGTTGAATGCTAAACGCGAATGTCTTCCTCGAGAACTTCAGAATAGAGGAATTTTTCCAGATGTAGATTCTATTATCCAGAATAAAGACATGCCAACTATTCGATTGTGGGTAGCATATATGTTGGAAAAATTCCGTTCCCAGCGCTTGTTTGGTTGGAGGATAGTTGATTTTCTTCGAAAGGCGGGTATGGTAATTTCTATCATAGAATCTATTCCTAAACCTGAAGATATTATGACATCGCTATCCCAAATAGTGATGGCGAGTTCTTCTATCATTAAAGCAGAGGAGATAGCAGATGTTTCCAATGCTACTATTGTCGATCGTGAGACTGCTGAATTTTTAGAGAATAAATCAAAGAAGACTTTAGAAGAGATGCGGTCTCTGGACCGGCACCACATTGTGGATTGCTATGAGATGTCGCCTGAGTTATTGACTGAAGATTTTATCTCGAAATATGGAAATTTTAATCATATGAAATGGTTTAGAGCTTATAGGCAATTACGAGATGCTGGCATTGACAATGAAACAGCTGTAGAGGCTTTTACCCGCAAAGATTATAGAGAAGATAAACTTATTGTAGCCACTCGAGCTGAGAGATATCGAATTTGCCTAGAATTACTAAGGATCTGTACACCTGCTAGAGATATTGATGATAGGATACGATATAAAGCTGATGATGTTAAAGCACGCATGGATTCTCCTGAATCAATATCATATTTTCAAGGTTTAGTGCCTAAAATGGCTCGAGTATTTGATAATACAGATGCATCGCGCAGTGCTAAAAAATCAGGATTAAAAACAGATAAGGCGAGACTCGGCTTGTTAAATTCAGTACTATATGCAACATATGGGCTGAAATTTAAAGCTACTAATAAGAAGCGTACGCAATATCACCTAGTTGGCTCATTTGATAGCGAGGATGCTTCTAAGTTACCTTCATATCAGACTGGGGAAGAGGTATATTGGAATAATGGAGAAGATATCCAGTATGCCTATAGTAAACTCACTCCCGATGAATTGTTATTAGAGAAAGATAGCGAAACATCTCTTGACCCTGGTTTAGCATATAATGCACAAATTACAAAAGAAACTCAAGATTTATTCGATATATGTTAATTATTCTTCAGATAGGGGTAGCCTTCTTCCATTATTTTATATAAAGATTCTGAAGAAGGCTACCCTTAATTTATACTATCTACTAAGGTATTTTTACTATCATTTTATATAATATTTTCGCAGAAAAATATTCAATGAAAATTAGGGCTTTAGGTCTTTGCAGGTTGAAGGATCTCAGCCCATACTTCTGCCTCATCCGATAATTTAGCGAATGAAACCTAGCAGAGTGTGTGGGACAACATCCTGTAGTAGAATCTGTAAGTTTATCACAACTACTAACGAGGCAGGGTTTTCTTTCCATATTTTTTTCATACAATGTGTGATGTTTTGCACATCCAGTAGTACGAGTACAGACTCTTCCACAAATAGTACCATTTCTCTTGATATATGAGCAAGTAACACGATCCATGTAAGTATTTTAGAATATGAAACCCCTTTCACTTTTATTGCGGATTAATTTTATAATAAATGTGTATTTAAATTATTCGGTAGTAAAATAAGATATAAACACCTTTTCTCACTTACGCTATAGACATAATGCAAAGAACGGTACTCAATATACTAACCGGTCCATTTTTATATAATAATTCTGAAGAAGCCCCATTTCAAAAATATGCTCGATATACTTTATTTATAAATTTAAAATGATCCTATTCAACTTAAAGGTATAAATGGAATAATATTTTTTTGCTCACTCCTCGGCAGATAATTCAGAGGTCTTTGCCTGTTGAAGGGTCTCAACCCCATACTTCTTTCTCATCTGATAATTTAGCGAATGAAATCTACCCGAATGATCGGGACAACATCCTGTAGTAGAAATAGTATATCTACAACAACTACTAACAAGGCAGGGTTTTTTTTCTATATTTTTTTCATACAATTTCCAGTGTCTATAGCACCCGGTGGAGTCACAGCACTTATTTCCACAAATAGTGTTATCCTTCTTGATAAATGCGCAAGTAAAACGAGCCATAGTCAAAGATGCTAAAGCAAAAGTATTTTAGGATATAAACCCTCTTTCACTTTTAATTTTATAATAAAACATGTATTTAAATTAATTGATATCATAATGAGATAAACTATCTTTTCTCACTTACGCTATAAACATAATGCAAAGAACAATACTCAATATACTAACCGGCCGATGGATCGATCCAAATGGAAAGTTATTCCAGAAGTTGATCCATGAAGGTTTCAGATACGCTGATAGACTTTCAGATTATTTAGAAGATATTGGAATTATATGCATTGGTGAATTCGAATTAAACCCCTTGGCTGACTTTTACCATCCAGTCCTAATTCCACCTCTATCTATCTTAGCTAGTAGATCGGATATTCGTAAAAAGTTTCCTATTAGTGTGGAATCTGCTGTTGAAGGTGGAATGAGTTTATTTACTCTTGAAAAAAATAGACAATCATCGTTTCAGAATCTAATGCAAATAAATTATCCCAGCAATAACTTGACTATACTAATCGAAATGACTTGGGATTGTAAAGACATGAAAGCTTGGAGAAATAACGTTCTCATGAAATTTCTCTATCACCCGAATTTAACCCCTTCGAAGTATAGTCCAGGTGCTTTATATGATGCATTCACTAAGGCAAATGTTTTAGGACCAGAACAGAAATCGAGAGCTTAGTAAAAAATACAATGGCATCCTCAGAACCTCAACGACCTCAACAGCCTCAACAAGTGACTTC